CATTGGACTTTATTACTGTCTGCATGTGCTTTTATTTACATTATAAAAGATCTAAAGGATAAACATATTTATTTAGGTATAATACCTATCTGGCTATGGCAAATCTGAAAAGAAATTTAAGTCTACATCAGTAGGGCTAGCACGACAGGATGCGACTTGATTGAGAGCGAGAGCGTTTGTGGCAATATCTCGAGTTTCTGTTTCGCTCACGCACCTTATCGTGTTAGCCTTACAAATGTTATTACAGTCATAGGTTAGCCCCCATAGTGTGCCGTCTCGATGAAGCTATTATATCCACATTTAATTCTCAAATTCGATTAATAAACCCGGCATTTAAACATTTTATCATAATAACTGCAGCATGGCGAGCACCGTGACGTCACATTTATGTCATCGCGAGCGTCGCGACCAATGACTGCAAAAGATTGATTGATTTTAAAAGAAGACTGATTTTAAAACATTTTGACAGTTCTGCATAGTAATTTTATCAACGTAAAAATCGAGCGCGACAAACGAGATGAAAATAAATAATAACAACAAACAAATTGACAGTACAAATTATTGGAAAAAGGCGAGGAGAAAATTTCTAATACAGTTTAGTACATGATAGTAATTAGAAATACGTAAATAATAAGTAATATAATGTAAACACAGAAACAATAAAGACCCGACATTTTTATTTCATCGTTTCTGCGGCGATGATGAATCGACAAAAATAGCTATATACGCTTATATAGCTGTCCTTATTCTTCGAAATGTATAACAATAGTTCATTTCCAAGTAAGCAAATTTAGCTTTATCAAGTGAAATAAATACTGTCACGTCTCGTCGGTTTATCACAGAAATAGCTCCATGCTACGGCTACCGATTCACTATATAACAAATTTTCAAAAAGTTTCTGTTTCTGGTTTGACAATAATGGTATCTGTTTAATTGAGCAGCAAGCAAAGAATAATGACCTACCCATACTAGGTTATTGTTAGGCAGTAAGTATGTAGATAAGAGTAGCTATACCCCTGAAACTTTGCTTTTATAGCTGTCACAGTGGTATTTATAAAAACTCGCAAATTTACATAATTCGCACCCCACATGGAAGAAAGGCATAAGCGGAGTTACGTCAAACACGTTTATTGCTCCTTTAGATATAGAAAAATATAAACGACATCATCTCCAATTCTTGTAACTGTATCTACAATATTATCGATACAGTTACAAGAATTGGCAAGGATGTGGGTTATATTTTTCTGCATCTAATGGAGTAATAAAACCTAATTTTTGCTCGGAAATAAAGTTTTTGCATGTTTTTATGTTAGAACCAATTACAATATTGTACTGATAACCCAGAAACAAACATTTTGTTACGTGGAGCTTGAAACTCCTTAAAAAATAAACAATGGTATAAATTTCGGTGCACTATCTAGCATATTATATTCACATAGAAACGAATCACTTTCGTTGAACTTGGTAATCAAATTTGGGTCTCGAGAATTAAGTCACCGGACTTCTTCCGTTTGACAGAAACCAGTGAACCATTAATTACGCAGAAGATGGTAAATAATATTGATAAAGTTAATTTGATTTTATGCAAATCAAGGGAACTGGTAATAAATCACAATATTCCAAAATTCAAGAGTTTCTCTCAATTTCCACTTTGTAAATAAAGACAAAAACTTCTGGAATTCTTAATAAATTGCCTTGTAATTTATTAAAGCCGGATTTACATTTGTCTGACGGGTCTTGTCGTGACGCGTCAGAGTCGAATAGAAATCTTTCATTAACGCTCTCAAGTTCTTTAACGAGTCAGCCCCATATCTTTCTACATTAGTTTTGATTACAGCGACCCTCTCTAGCGACCCTTAGAGTGTACGAGAAGGGCACTATGACTGATTACGGACCACCTAAGTCAGACAGTTCGCATGGAGTTCATCCGGTTCTCTATAAGGATATTGCCTTAAATGAGCTGCCCCGGATGCACGTACAGCACCCTTCCTTTTTTTGTTTCCTTCCTACTTTCCTCCGGGCACGTGCACTTCCCGTCGACTAACGGTTGTCACCGCTGAGCCGTTGTCTGTAAGCCGATTACCAAATCTGCTCTTTGGTGGCTGAGCTGTAAGCCACGCTCACTTCCCGACGCCGATAAACGACGTCTCTCCAGTCCCCAAATTCCTACGCGGCCGGAGGGATCGGAGGATGTCTATCTCATCCTCTACTAGCTCTCCGGGCTAGTGCCGGAGACGCCGGTAGCAGTGTTCTGCGACAATGTCCAGACATAGCGAACGATTTATGGGGCATGGCAAGGGCATTCATCCTACACCTTTCACCAGGATAGCAAACATTATAGCGTATGCCATCGATAAGAAGAAGAACTATACTGACCTGAATTTGGAAATTGAAGAGCCTCTGTTGACTATCGACAGGAATCAGGGGTACTATCTCAACAAGTGAAACAAAAAGTAGCCTTATTTAATAAAAGTGTTTGATTGGGAATTTATTTAAGAAAACTGTAGGCATGTTACGGCTGCGATTACATCAAAGGTGTGCGAGGAAAAAAATCACTTATAGGATTGCTTCATTTTTCCAGTCTTGCTTAGCGCAGCTCTGGTGGAAGAGGGCTAGCGGAGTTAAGTATGTGTGCGAGAAATGTGTGCAAGGGATGCGAGCGAGTAATGTATGCGAGATATTCCGCTCACCCCACCACACCCATATGTGCGCAGATGAAAGGAATCCGCCACTACTCCTCTCACCGCTCAACTACACACCGTTTCTTAGCTTCGCTACACATCCGCGCACCATCTCCTCGCATATCCCTCCTGGAATCGCAACCTACCTGTTATAGAGCTACGATTATTTCAACCCCTAATGAAATCAGGTCGTAGAAAGAAAAAAGCACCCAAAACTGTAATTTTCCTTCGATTCCGCTTTTTATCTGCGCTCGTTAAAATTTCACGCTTGACAATTTTCATTATGGCGGTATATTTACATAAGCCGGTTAAATTTAATTTACTGTTTGCGAAGTCTTTTAGGTTTATAAATGTCCCCAATAAAATAGACCTATTTCAATCCTGAAAGTGATGGTATTGTGCCCTCACTTTCAGGGTTTTTGTTTTCACCAATCATGACGAACGGGATTGTTAATGTATTTATATGCTGAACGGTCAAATATTAATAAATATTACTAATAAACTATCAGAACAATTTAGGAGACACTGTTAAAGCTGCAAATTTTAATAATAAAGTTAAAAGCTTTTTATTAAGAAAATATACTACAGAGTTAACAAATTCAGAAATATTATACTTACATTGAAAACTACATAAAGAATATTACGTTTAAATACAATTAAATATCATAAATACGTCATATGAACCATATTATTATTATTATTATTGAATAAATATAATGTAATTAAATGGACGCGTGACGAAAAAATTTGTGTCCTCCAGAATTAGTTTCTACAACTACGGCACACCGTTTCTTCCTATTCTTAGGCCTTTTGACTAGATATCTTTCGAAACTCAACTATGATGACCTCACGCGTACACACTTATACGCATGCACGCACGCACACCCGCAGACACACACACACACACACACACACACACACACACACACACACACACA